AGTAATGCATCAAACTACATCCTATACATACAATGAGTAATTCATATAAAAGACTCAAAAATGCAAACACTTTACAGTGTGGGTTTCATAAATCCATTTTCTAACTAGTCCATGATAAAACTTTGATATATTATTTTAGTTTCATGTCGACATCAAAAATGGACATATATTTCATATCCCTTATTCACTAGTCCATTATATCATGCATATGCATTATTTATCAGTTCCATCATATACCGGTATCACATATAATTCCTCAAGGTACAATTTTAATTTGCATGCTACTTTGACAATGATATCTGAATACATTTTTCATTGGTACCATCATAACTTTTCTTGTCATAGGCCATCTATTGTAATAATTCAGATATCTATACCACTTTTGGGGTATTTCATACACTATGGTATTTATATACTATTACAATATTAAAAGTGTTAACTACACTATCTTGCCACATATCATATCTTTATTTTGGAACCGATCATACAACCCACACTTCAGGTGTAGTGATTCAAGTATAATTTGCAAGATTTTATCTCAATGTATACACATAATATGACCAAAATGTATCTTCAACGCTATGCAACATGAGTCATAACCGAATACAAATCAAATCATAAATGTGCAACATATCTTGATAATAGACAAAAGTTGGCATGTAACTTTTCAAACTACCATTATAGGGATCATCAATTTATTTATTTATTTTTATCTTTCCAACTTTTGTTAATTCATCTCTCCCTAAGCTGGTAAAATATCTCTTTTTTATAGGGGCGTCTAATTCTATACCAACTTAGTATATAAATTTTCATTAAAATTCATTTCATTTGGAGGATCACAATCAAAATTTATCTCTCCAAAAATTTGTATTAAACAAGATTTATCTCTTTTGGAGAACAATTTCAATGAAGAATCATTTATTCATTGACTTTACATATCATATGTATTTTTTATTACATTTTCCATAATATTTTCTCTTCTGGAGATCAATGTCAATGGGCAGACATGTGTTGTGCAGTTGTACGTTTTTCTTTCCTCTCCTATTTTTTATGTGCTGACATATAATAGCCCCAATCAAAAGAATTGGTATACAAGCGTAAATCACTTGCTTGTAATTCTACTAGGTGGTGATCTTTCGGATCTTTGAAGACTTAAATAGTGTATTTGGTGAGCTTCTGGTCACCTAATACTTGACAATAATATATAAGTTATTCTGGTGAACTTCTAATCACCTATTGCTCTTTCGTATATATGAAAATCAAAACCTATTAACTCTTGAAATTTTCATCAACAAATATTATTATAGCTCAATCTCAATGTTATATCTTGCCATTCAATTCATTTCATATATCTAACATTGAGAGAGTGTCAATACATTATCAAATGAAACTTCAGGTTTCCATAACGGGTATTTATTGAACCTGAATGGCCTAATTTAATTATCACATCCAATCACATCTCTGAAATTGAACTCTAGTCGGTTTTCCAACACTAGTGATCACTTTATTAAACTTACTTTATGCATGGCCATGAGTATGATGTGATATTAGAACATCAACATGTGTTTCTTTATACAATTGACAAGACAATCAACTAATATTTTATCCAATAATTACTCATACTCTACTAGAGTTTTGACTATAACTTGATACATGTTAATCTTGTTGGACATTTCATACTCTTCTGGAGTCTTTCATATAATCATGGAACATATGAATTTTACTAAAAGTGATTTCTTCAAGAAATGTAATGGAATTTATCACTTCCTAAAATTTTTCATTGTCAATAATGGCTCCTTTCCCTTTCAAAGATACTTAATTATCTTTGGAACATATTGATCTATCACGCTTTAGGTATGTTATAGGTTCATCAGCAATTGATGTTGTTCTTCTAGACATCAATTTTAATTGGAGCATTTACAATTAGTATATAATCAATGACATTTATTTATATCCATCTTCAGGATGGTATCATTTCAAAATAAATAATTAACATGTGGCCACTTCTATTAGATAAATCGTTGATATTTAAGTTAATGTATGTATCAAACTGACCATCAATATATTTAATTATTTATGTGCAAGGATTACTTACAATCTCCCCCTAATCCTTGCATATGGGGGTATGGAATCAATCCAACAACCTTTAAATCCCTACCCCTTTTAAGCCATAAATTCTATTGGCAATATCATGTATCAAGTAACGTGTTCCTTTTAGCAAAAACATGCTTAAATAAAATTATACTTATAGAACATTTAATCATGTTCCTCTTGCCCAATTACATTCATCTTAAAAAAAAACCGAAACCTCTTATATTTATGGGCATAATAAAACGTTGATCATGTAAAGTTTTTCTCAATGTTATGTTGCATTTTATAAACTCATAAACATTATTTCTTGGTCCAATAGTTGATATGTAATCATGTTTGCAATTCTAATTGAGCTTTTCAATGAATTGTAATCACGAAAACATCATGCAAACATGCTTTCCTTCAATCACATGAACTCTCATTCACTTATAGAGTGAGTAAATCTAGTAATTTATGTATCTTCAATACTCACTTAAAGTTATGACATCATGCAAATATTAGCAATCTCACTTATAAGGGTAATTAGAAACAATATAATGCTACATATCATCAAAAAAACCAAATCATACTCATAAATATTAGTTCTTGATTATGACGTAAATATTTTTAAACCTATTATTCATGAGGTCAATGAAATTATAGCGTCATTCAAGTGTAAGTAATATCACTCATAAAAGTACAAATAATATTACAATCATCGTTAAAGAGTTCAATGCATTACCATAAAAATATTCCACGATGTTTTCCATACTCATCATAATCACATAATTTGATCAAAACAAGACTTCTTGAGCAGTTAGCTTAGGCATATAATTAAATATGTATACTTGTTAAGAAATTTTCCTCAATTTTTTTTTCTGCCTTTTTATTCCACTTCTTTGTCTATATATTATCAAGTGATAACAAAATAAAGCGTAACCGTGTCCTTGATTCAAGCCAAGGATCACGTGTGCATAATCAATCTACTCCTAGTTTACATAAATTTCACCTAATTATCTCCCAGAATTGCGTAAACAAATTTTATCAACATCTCCTAAATGGTGAAGTATATCCTCTAATTTTGGGATATAATTTAGGAAATTATATCGTAACAATACTCCATAATAAATCAAAACTAAATTGACTTTCCTTAGCATTAAACCAATATAAAACACATGTTGTCTACAATACGTAGTATAAGATATAAACATACCATGAGAAAAATATTATAAACAAAGACTTAGGGTCTAGTTTAGATAAATATATTTATAATAAATTATCATGATGATGAGTAATAGATAATCTTAGATTATTAATAGTAAACATATCACATAAACATAACAAAATCATGTGATAAAGCTAATTAAGTTTGATAACCCCAAAATCAGCAAATAAAATCATAAATTAGAAAAATTATAATGGCAAAATTCATTTACTATACTTTACATAAAACCAAGAAGTAACCAAATTGATTTATCCAAGAAAACTAGGTTATTCTTAAAGTCCACCACAACCAAGGAGATGACTAATCCAACTAGATGCAGTTCTAGTACTTCGTAACGTACTTCTTTGTATGCATGACACACTAAAATCGTACAAAATTCAAGATACCTTAACTGATTAATTGGAATAGTGCCGACATGCCACAATATTTAACATAACAATTACAAATTGTTAAATAATTTACTGATACTCTATAGAATATAAATATCGGTACAATATTGAAAATAAAAAATAATGACAATCATTAGCCAATTAATTCTTACTGCTAACTATATTTAATTACCATAACAATCACAAATCAATAATACGAATATGATAGCAAATGCGTACCTTACTTTTGAAGTATACTTTAACAACACAAATAACAATTTCGAGTGGACTTTCTCTAATTTGGGGCCCGTAATTTCGATTAAGGTCATGGCAATTAGATGCGTTCATATTGCTGACTCCAATTTTCAAATACACGGGGCAAGCACTATAAGAAATGCTTTTTAGGATAATTGGCATCAATTGTAGCAAATTAGATAATCATCAGAATAGAAGATGTTTTCGTCAATGAGTTGAACAATCTACACGCATCGTCTCTTCTCTTATTGGACAAATTGTGGTTTTCACAATTCTTCCAAATTTAATCTATGGTACTAGAAGAAGTAAAGAAACTGTAAATTAACAAGTCAATTATATACTAGCCACACACATATAGGCTACATAAAAGTATTTTGCCGAACATACTCACCAAGGTGAGTTACACTAACTTTTAATTATAATTAACATTAATTCAACCCCAACATAACAAAACAGTACATCATAATAATATAACATGTATAAAAGAGGCACATAACAAATATAATTTGTAAAATCAAAGCTTAATAAATTAAAATAAATGAAATTGTGAGGAAACTTCCCTGATAATCGGCTCACGATGGCTTCATGGATCATCATCGCACGATGTCACCTATCAAATTCTAAATATCACGCTAGGAATATTGTGTTGTATTATACTCCCTCTGTCCCTTTATTTTTGCCCTATTTGACTTTTCATAGTTTCCAAGACACGTGTTAAATCGTTTATATCTCCATTTTTACACGCGAGAAAATTATAAAAAGTTAATATTAATTAAATATACAATGAGACGAACCAAACAAGATTCCACACGACTATATTACCTATTGTAGAATAACGAGAATTTATGGTCAAAGTTTTCAAAGTTTTACTCAAATTTTGGCAATGGAGCAAATAAATAGGGATAGAGGGAGTAGTTTTTAACTGCAAGGTTGATTCATAATCCATCAATTTGTAGGATGTTCCTTGCTAATAGTATACCAATATCTCAATAGCAACCGTTTTCGATTATGATATAATTTTAATCTTAATCGATTGCTTAGAGCTTTGGTGCTGATAACGTATTATGAAATTAAAGAGAAAGAGGAAAAGTAGGGGAGAGAATAGATCGATATTATTATTACTCAATGATGTAGGAGTACATATATATATATACATGTAATACAATTAAGGTTTCCTTATAAAATAATAAACATAATATATCTAGAATATCCTAGAATTATCATAAGGGAATGGGCATCCACTAAATACATATATTATATAACATTTAAATGTTTTTTTTTTTTTGACAAATTTTCCTATTTATTTTTGTTTAATGCAAGTAATTTTTTTCCAACATTGTTACGTTATTATTCTCCCCTCGGCGAAAAAGCCCTAGTGTAAAACCCCTCTGAAATTGACCCCAAAATTTCCCAAACTCCACTTACAATAATGTCGTTCTCTATACTTCGATCTCGACTCTCAAAATCATCCGCCATTAACACCAATACCAAAAACCTTAACACCATTATCTCCCAAAGATTCCTCTGCACAAATCTTCCCAAAGAACCGCCTTTATCGTCTGGTTCTTCTCAACCTAACGAAGTTCCTCCATCTTCTCCGCCGAAGAATTCCAACGTTTTTTTCACCGCCCTCAAATTCGGCCTTACTGCCGCCATTACTGGTGCTGCTGCTTCTGCTGGCTATGCCACTTACGGTTCGCTTTCGTCAATTTCTCTTTTCCGATTATACATTTGTTATTTTATACTTTCGCTTTTCAAATTAGTTGACGCTTATAGACTTTGACACTATTCACAAATTATACTTGTTAGATTCTTTAATGTGTTTTTGTATTTTTTACTTAGAGGTATATAAGATAAGTCAAATAATTTTAATTGCGAGTAATTATTGTATTATTTGATTTGATCTTTCGTTCACTTTTAGTTGATTTATGTTAATGTTGTGGTTTTGCAAATTGAATTGCTTGGTAAATGCACAGCTGCTACTTATTAAGGCTGCATTACCAGAAAAAAGTAAGGAAGTCCGGCGATTTTGGGTGGTTGGTCTGGTGCTGTATAGCCTGTATTCCTCACTTCCTCCCTCCCTCCCTCTCCCGGTTTTGCCGTGGAATAGGGGGTTTGCCCCATTGGATAAAATAGTTAGCTGTTTGGTTTAGTTTACGCATTGTTGGAGTAGTTTGAGGTCTTGTTTGTTTGTTGAATTGGCAGAGTTATGAATTTCGACAATGTATTTTTTTTTATTGAACGTCGATGTATAAACAACTTTTTGCTGCAAGGAAATGATAGTTCGATAGAGCTAGAATGCGGAATATGTTATTTTAAATTCTAGCTCTCATATGGCCGATGAATCAATGATACTTAGTTTGATTTCATCTATCTTCGTGACACTGCCAAATTCCACATAGATTGCAATATTGAGTAACGAGATTGTGAAAATCTAAGGTGTAAACAAGAAAATCAGTTAGAACACCTTTTTTATTTTTATTTTTATTTTTTAAAATATTGTTTATTTATTGTGTATTGTGATGGGCTAAATGCATTTAGCAAGCTCATATGGGATGTAAGTGCTATCAAACTTATACTGTTAAAAGTATGGATTTTATATCCATTAAATTTTCATAAAAAGTAAACTTTAGTGTGATAGATAAGTGTCCTGTAAAATATACAGAATTTATGGTAGTTTTGTTTGCAGCATACACATTTGAAGAAGTAGATGAGAAAACAAAAGCATTCCGAGCTTCTGCAAAACATCACATTGAAGATGATGACGCATCTTTTATCAACGTGAGTACTGGCTTACTGTTGCTTTCTAGATTCTTTATAGTTTCATGGTATTACTTCAGTTATGTCCAACATAGAACATGGTTGTTTGTGGGAAGATAATATATCTGGTTAACTGAGGCAATGATGCTGAGGTAGGAGAGTTGGGATACAGGATATTGGTCTTTGTTTTGTTACTTTTATCCTTATGGGGTTAAAAATTTAAGATCTTTTCTCTGTATCCTATCTTTTCTAGTCACTGTTAACAACACTTGTTACATGATCATTAATGATGTCAAACGCTGGTCTGATGAAACTTCAATATGTGTTCTTCTGTAGAAATTTCAAGCTTTGGGGCATTACACTGCTGTGGTTGGTATATTTCTTTCTCTCTTTTTTCCAATTTTTAATTGGATTATTCTTTTTTATAGGGAAAAAGTAATGATCTTTTTCTTTTTTTGATATAACATATTATCAAATGAGTGTGATAATTTATACTAGATTAAGGGCTTAAAGCAATGTCAAATAAATTATCCTCTAAAGCTATTGAAACCAATTTCTATGATACTGGGATCCTTTACCTACCTTGCCAATCCTCTGTTGTACCCATGTCTTACCCATGGGCTATGCCACACTTAGTGTTTGTTTTGTTGCAATGGGAATTAATTTCCCATGGTAATGTACAAGTCATGGGAATTAATTTCCCTTATCTATTTCCTAGGAATTAGCTGTAATGTGTTTGGTTTAGACTAGGGAAATTACATTTGCTAGGAATTTTGAATGACATAGGGAGGATTGTGTGAGTAAATTGCTACATTATGTGGGAATTCCAAACTCCTATTGAAATTCAAATTCCTCCACTATGTACTTTTTGGTCAATCAAACAACATTGCAAAGATGTATATCCTAGGTATTTTGAGTTCCCATGGAAATATGGTGCAACCAAACAAGCACTTAGTTGATGTAGGATAATAATAAAGTTGGAATAAGAAGCCTTGTTATGCATCATTACTATGCTAGCTAATATCAGTTTCATGTGGCCGATGTGAACCATAAATTATGCTATTTTGGTTCAATTGTGACTATTTTTATTGCTATTTCTTGTGAGTCAAGAGGTAAAATCAGTGATCATATCAATGGATCTGTTTTTTGAAAAGCTCTACTCTAATGCCACCAGATAATAGGGTGGAAGTCACAAATCTCATAATGTATGGAGCTTGACCTTTGAAAAAGTACCGGATAAAAGTTGTCTTTGGCAGACCCTAATTTTTTCATAGAAATGATCAAGTACACAAGAATGAGACAGGAATACTACATTGTAATTTAAAATAGAAATCATATAGTACTGGTAATATTATAGTGTTGTCATAATAAAAAAGTAATATACTTGAGATTCTTATTATCCCACAGGACCCACACTATAATCTTGCCCATACCCTCAAAAGTATTTTTATTTCCACAATTAACTTGTGTGTTTCATAACTTGAGGACAGGAGATGCCACATAATGGACTTTCTAGTGTACTGTAGATATGGTGACCAGTGATCTTTTGATTTTGAGGTAGTTGTGTGTGTATAAAAAAATAGTATACTTGAGATTCTTATATCCCACAGGACCCACACTATAATCTTGCCCATACCCTCAAAAGTATTTTTGTTTCCACAATTACCTTGTGTGTTTCATAAGTTGAGGACAGGAGATGCCACATATTGGACTTTCTAGCATATTATAGATATGGTGACCAGTGAGAGAGAGAGAATTTTCCTTTGAAATATATTAAAGGTAATGTGTGTCAATTTTGCAATTTTTCTGATCTGTATCAGACTTTTATTATTATTATAATAATTATAAGCTTCTATCTTGTTTGGTATTTTAGTGCCTGCCAAAGCAATTGAACTTTACTTAGATTGGAGGAGATCTATTGAGGATCAAGTTCGAGTAAGCTACTATGAAATCCAAATATAATTCCTATCATTCTTAATTTGAACTCTGTTTTGATCACACTTTTTGAATTTTTTTTATGTTACTCTATGACAGGGTTTCACTGAACCGTTGTCTGATAAGCTACTTCCTGATTTGCCACCTGGAATGCAACATGTATTTACACTTGTTGTGGATCTGAACGAGACTTTAGTTTATTCTGATTGGAAGGTAAGACCTAAAATTGATGCACACCTGAAATTGAGTTGAATTCTATTGGCTAGTGCAGGCAATCTATTCTGGCGACCCTAGTAAACTTCCTTTGTTTTTTATTAGTTGCAACATTTTTCATTTCAGATTTGCCACTACGTAATGTCAATCCCTTGTACTTCTTGTTATAAATATGGTCAAAAAAAAAAAAATTGATATTTTGTACTTGTAAATTGAGACAAATTTAACAAAATCCGACATAATTGTATTTTTTTTCTCAAGGATTAATCATTATAGAGAGTCAAAGCAGAGTGTGAATTAAGCTCTCTTTCTTGACCAACACTTAGAACCCATGGGGCTTTTTTCTAAACTACATAAAAGGATCATTCAACCATGATGATTGTCAATCCAGAGAGATGATCACCAAGGAGCTTAGCACGGCTTTGGGTTGCAACATGTGGTGCTTCTTCGACCTCCTCCACTAAGTTCCATGTACCCGCATCAAAGCGTGTGAATAGTGCAAAAGTCAAACTGGTGTAACTAAATGAAAACGGAGGAAGTACTTCCTTTGTTTTGTTTTAGTCACACTTCTTTTATCACTTTTTCCAATGCACAAATTCAACGATTAGTATCTCTAATTATCAATAATTATAAATTATAGAAAGTTGATAAAATAAAAGTATATATTGAGACGATTCCAACAAGATCCCACATAACTATTAATCACCGAAGGTAGTCAAAGTAGACTTTGTGAATAGTTTCACAAGTAAAAATTGTCAAATAAAAGGGGATAGAGGAAGTAATATTTTCTAACCTGCTTTTTCTCCATCCGTTGCTCCTCGGGGCTAATAAAGGAAACTATAAAGAAGAGTATGCTGTTGGTGCAATGTTTCAATTTACCTGTCTATGTAAGTAAGATTTATTCTTTAACTTTTGGCCACTTGAAATTTTATTCTCGGTAGTTGTATTCCAATTAAATTATATTATGTGTATAGATGTTATATATTAGTTGAGCTTATATATTCTATTGAAAAAAATTTATAAATGAGCGCTTTTTTGTAATTATAGATGGAAAAATCTCATTGCTCCATTCTTAGCTTTTGGTGGAACGAAATGAAAATTGCGTCTGAACTAAGCAACTTTTTCTCTTTTCTTTGTATTCTTTGCAGCGTGAAAGGGGCTGGAGAACTTTTAAGAGGCCAGGTGTTGATGCCTTTCTTGAGCACCTAGCGCAATATTTTGAAATTGTTGTGTATTCTGACAACTTGTCAATGGTGATTTTTTTTTTTTACTCTGTTGTTTCGCTGCTACTTCCCTGATTTTATTAGAGAATTGTTTTTGAGATTGGTTTGTATCTGGCATGTGCAGTATGTGGACCCCGTTCTTGACAGATTAGACGAGAAGCACTGCATAGCTCATCGGTTATCTAGGGCTGCGACAAGATATAAGGATGGGAAACATTATAGGGTAGGGTTCTATCTATTAGCACTTGTTCTTTAAATCATGCACTCTCATCCTTTGAATATATCAATTGCTGAAGGAAAAGTAAAATAAAATTCAATAGACCATCTTGTTTCTGCCTTTCTGGTTTACATCAAATTTAAAAGTTGATATCCATGTCATTTTCAAGAAGAGAAATCTACCTACTTTTGCTCCTTTCTATACAAGGTTGAACTTTTTGTCAATTTGAATCAACTAGGGCTATCTTTAAATTTAATTATTTTTTTATGTTTGAAAAGGGTTTGGTTGAACAAATTTCTATTCAACCATGAACAGTGTAACTTAGTAGTATTGTATTGTATACCTTGTGCTTGCATCACCTTGACGTCATCTTAATGTGAGGGTTTCTGGTTTCCTCTTTTTAACATAAAGTATAATTGGTATGCCTCATTTTGTTTTGGCTACCTACCTTGTCATCTATCTTTATTTGTTTATTCTCACATGTTTGTTGTTCTACAAGTATAATTCTGCTTTCATCACTTGCTTAATGTCAGTTGTCTTTTATACATTTCTATTTCCGAATTGAAAATAACACTTGTCTTCCTTCTCTACTCCTCCCTTCCCATCCCCCCTCTCTGTTATTGTTGACAGTGTTTTGTTCTGTGTTGGATTTTTTTGTTAGATGTTTGGCTTTCATTTTGTCTCCTTAATCATGAATCTAGGTATTGTAGCAATGGTCCTATGGGTTTGCTATCGTTCGCTTATTTTTGGAAGACATGGTTAGATCAGAATGATGCTGAACATGGAACCTATTGTTTTTGATATTAGGCTGAAGATGATATGGTTCTGGGGATGCTACTTTAGAACCCCGTCATGATATCTATACCTCAAATTGTGAAACGACTCTCATTTTACCTTAACCAAAATTTCTGAATAATATTTAACTACGACAAGTTTTCTAGGCATAAATGATGGGATTAGACTACCAGAGAAAAAGAACAGGAAATAAAAGTAAAAGGAAAATTTGATTTGAATAATCCGACCTTTGTGCGATCTTATTTTATTAATCCCACCTTCTGATTATTCCACAATAGTCCAAGTTTTGGGCGGTGTTCTATTTTATTAGGCCAAGTAGGTCACTTAACCTACAACATCAAGTCGTCTGCCACGTGTTGCGTTTTCATTTGGCCAAGAATTATTTTTCAATTTATTTTAAAAAAAAACTTTAATCTATTTTTTTTTTATTATTTAAAAAAAAAAAAAAACATTTTTCCCTTTTCTTCTTCTTCTTCCCTTTCCCCTCCATACTGGCGCACTATTCTTCTCCGACAACCGTCCCTTCCCGCCCCCACTTCCCTTTCCGGTCAACCTCCGCACCCCACCCCTTCCTCTTTCTCTCTCCGTCATCTTTCCACCGCCGCACCCCCTCTAAAGCTACCACGAATTGGGGAACGGGGTTGGGTTTGTCGGTTTCAGGTGGCTGGGATCGGGGTTGCAAAGGGGTTTTGGGGGTGGCTTGGTTCATGGGGGAAGGGGAGGGCTTGGGGTGGAGAGGACAGAGGCGGACCGGGGGTGGTCGGAAATTTGGGGAAAGGGAGGGGAAGGGGCGGCAGGAGGGTGGGGGTGGTCGGGAAAGTATAAGATGGGCCATGGAGGGGGGGTGGCTTGGTTAGTGGTTGGGTTTGATTTTTTTTTTTTTTTAAAAAAAATTCCTCATTTTTTGGTTAAAAAAATTAAAAATGAAAAGAAATTAAATTACGTAAGGAACAAGTAGTAGGTCACCTTAGCCTAATGAAATAGACATCCCCAAAAGGTTGGATTATTGTGGAATTATTAAAAGGTAGGATTAATAAAATAAGATCGCGCAAAGGTCGGATTATTTAAATCAAATTTTCCGAAGTAAAAGAAAAAGGTTTATGCTAGTAAGATTAGGGCTTAGAGCATCACATTTTTACATGGAATAATATCTGGAATGATCGTTAATAAAAATAAAAAATAAAAAAAACCTAAGATTTGACTCGCTGCCATGTTCAAGGGGAGTTTTTTAGTTTCGTATTTTATAAGTTGTATGTTGCCCTCCCCCTCTCTCTCTCTCACACACACACACTCACTCTCACACTCACTCTCACTCTGCGCCTCCCTGCTTGTAAGCAAGACCCGTAGTTATTAACATTTTGATTTAAATCTTAGAATCTTACGATTGCAAGATTCATGAATGTCCATGCGATTCGAGTTACGATTCTACTATGTATCTTAACTAGCGAAAACCTTACAAGTTTAAAACAACAAAGTTATTTATGAATGTAAATTGTTAATTATTGGTTGTTTAGTGGGTTAACCATTTTCTATTAATAATTAGGCTTTTAACCTATAATTTAAATATGTTACTACCTCCGTTACATATTAGTTGCAACTTTGGAATATTTATCTCTCACAAATAATACCCAAAGTTGCAACTAATATGTAACGGAGGTAGTAAATAAAATTTGAATATGACGTCTTGATAATGCATGTCCGTAGAATCTTACAATTCGATTATGAAAGCCCCTTTCGATTCAAAGTATAATTTCGATTTTGATAACTTTATCTAGACTTATTTAACTTTTTGTTTTGGTGAGGCCGTGAGAGGGGGGGGGGGGGAGGGGGTTATAGATCCGTAGATGAGTGGCAATTTGGTGTATCCAGGCCTCCATGTTCCACAATATTTTGGAAATCTTCTCCCTGTAAATGTTCGGCAAGTCCCATCAATGAAGTTGAAGTAGATTAAGTTGTGTCACTTAGTCCCCCCCCCGCCCCTTTTCTTTCTCCCTTTCTTTCTTTCTTTGCCTTTTTTTTCCCTTGCATTTTTCGTCTTGTCGAGTTTTGCTCCTCTACCTCTCCATCTTTCATTGACCTTTTCCAAACTTCTGCATCATAATTACCATCCGATTGATTCCTTGACTTGAATTATTGTAATATCTTTGAGCTAACTCAATTGATCAAATTTCAGATTTACAGTACATCATAGGTCATTCATTTTTATTTTATTTTTTTGACAAGAATCATAGGTCGTTCTTGTAATGTTTTTGTGTGCTTTAATTAAGTCAATATGGCTTTCCCATTTCCAAACTAATTTTAAAAATTTTCCAATCTGGTGAGTGGTTTATAGGAGAACATTGAAACACAGCATGTCCGTATTCTTTTAACCCCTTTTTTTAAATAAAAAATATAAAATGAACTAAAACATTCTCCTTCCTAATCTCTTATTCTAAACCATAAAATAAACCAGCTGCTTCGTTGTTTATTATTTTTTGTTAATCTGATTCTTTTAGGCTTCCTTAACTTTACTTTCTTAACCTAGTGCTTTGATGAGAAGTACATTTGTGGTGGAACTTTAAGAAGTGTAATTATGTGGTGAATATGTGAAATGCTTTTTGTTTAACATATGACTTTATAATCTCTTTGGAGTTTCCACCACAATTATCCTGCTACAATTATATAGTGGAGGAGGTAGGCCTTGTAATGTATTGTTGAATGTCATCTTAAAAAGGAATTCTTGGGGAAGTCCAGTTAGATAAATATATCTTCCCATTCACAAGGCCATATACATTTATCAGCTCTGAAATTTGTCTTGACTGACTTAACTGGCTATCATGATTTATTAATTTCATGGCCGTATCGTAAAAATTATTATAAAGGTTGTAGGAGGATTATAATTTTCTATTTATTGTGCAGGACCTTTCCAAACTGAACCGTGATCCTAAAAAGGTTATTTATATTAGTGGCCATGCCCTAGAGAACTGTCTTCAGCCAGATAATTGTGTCCAAATCAAGCCATGGAAAAGTGATGATGTGGATGATACTACTCTGTTGGATCTTCTTCCATTTCTTGAATGTGAGTATGCTTTATGTTATGTCAAACACCTTTCAAGTGTGCTTTGCTTACTAGTCAGTTTTTCAGCTTGTTAAATTGTTGGCTTTTTTGGTTGCAGTTGTAGCCCGGAGTGGACCATCAGATATCCGCCAGGTGTTAGCATCCTATAAAGGAAAAGATATTCCGAAGGAGTTTATTGAACGCTCTAAAGAGCACCAAAGGTTGGATATGAACCTTGTAAATGTGTTTGACTCTAGTTGCTGATATTTATTTTTTAATTTCACAATTAGGAACTGCATTTGCTTGGACTCAACTTTGACAACGTGATTTCATGACATGACCTGGGTTCGTATATTGGTATATTCCTGAGGCTTTCTTCAAAACCTGGGACATGACACAGTGATAAGAAAAGTTGGACTCCTCTTTCTAAGTACCCAAAATGATCTCATTGATCTGTCTCTTAGCCACATTACCCCAAGTTTTAAAATCTAGGCTTTACAGTTGAAACCCTTGAACTGAAAATTGAATCATCAGTTTACCAGAAGAAATGAAGAAGAATTGTTATTTTTTTCTTTCAAAGAACAAAATGAAGATGAGGAAAAATTCTATTACTTAGAGAGAAATATGATGACAGTTATAGTCTTGTCGCCAAATGTTAAGAATTGATGGGGGAAAGTGAAGTGAGGTTGAGGGGACCAATCAAATTAAAAGAGTCATATGGCCATATGGGATACTCATCTTGTGTTAGTCTTTCTCGTCTGTTATTTATTAGATCCATGTCTCATTTGAGATTGTTATTTCTTTTCTTATTCCTTAAAAAACCGAAACGGAGTCAATCAAATACTATCTATGTTAAGAATTGCGGACTGATACAGAAGTCTGACATTCACACCCTAGTTAAGCCATGATTGAAAATTATAGAGAAAAGATATTACAGACTGATCCTTTTACCCCTTCCGTAATTAAATAACTATTTCTTGTGAATACTTTGTGAACCTACAACATGAATAAACTATCGATAGATCCTCTTTTTGTGTTGTATTTGTTCTTTATTTTACACTAGTCATGCAAAAAACCCTACAATAGCCAATTTATTACTGGTTAATTGGTTAATTGCCTACTTGACATTGCCTCTGTAGCTCTGCTCCGTTACAGAGAACTAGTTTTTTTGCCTGTGCCGCACAGGCTACTGATAGTAAAACCTCTGAAATATAATAATGTGTGTTAGTGCATTACTTATGAGGTATGAATACTTAAGGGAGGGGGGGGGGGGGGGGGGGGGGGGGAGGGGGGGAGCATTTATGTATTAAGGGGGAAATATAAAAGAAAAGACATTAGCTACCTACAATGAATTTGGGACAGATCTATGTTTAAGGCTTAAGAGGGTAACGAAGTGATAAATCAGTTTGGATTTTTAGAAATATGAAGGTTAAGTTCTTAAACAGAAATATGATGAATAGATCGTGCTTGATTAATAAAAATTTTGATATAAAGAATATGGTGGAGGATGGGTTTGATTGATTATGACCAAAGTAGTAACACCTCAATCTGCCAGCAAAGTATTCTTTGTTTGTGATGGTGGTGGGGTTTTTTGCCATTATGGGAGGAAGAGGTTGTGGAGATAGAAAGGGAATTTAGATTGAGGACAGAGAAAGGTTGGGGCCAATGGTGTGGGGAGACTTTATTTTTATATTTAATTTACCATAGTTAATTATATAACTTGTTTATCATCAAAAAATCATTATTAATGCTATATACAACTAATACTCCCCCTGTATTTTATTACTTGCTCCACTTTCCTTTGCGGATATATTTAATTACTTGCTCCATTTCCTTTTTTGAAATTTGTAACAATATATTATTATTTACTCCCCACTAGTGGTCCTCTCATATCATATTGTAATATTTTTCATATTTTTTTTCTCCTCTTTACTTATTCCTACTTTTACTTTTTCAGATTTATTTATTGTTCAACCAACCCCATGTCCATCATAAAATAATATTTTATATTAGTTCTCCTAAAACTCCATGTCCGGAGAAATGGAGCAAGTAATAAAATATGGAGGGAGAACTAAATAAAAACACATGGATATATGTGATGTTTAATAATCGGCAAACTTATAGGTTATTAATGAGAATTGCTCAACAATACTTAAAATGGAATAGAAAAGAAAAGAAAAAAAATCAAAATATCATAGGGGAAGGAGACAGGTGACACTAATGGTTTGTGTTTCCAAAATACTTCTGACAAAAATTTACTTAATACTTTTGTAGTTCCATGATATTCAATTATTTATACCTCCCTTTAGATTATAACCCTAGTTTCGTATCGAGTTTGAAGCTAAGTCATTAAAATCAAATGTCTTTTTAATCATTGCATCATGTATGTGAGTTGTTTATGATCCTGTCTTTGAAAAATTCTGAGATATTATTCTGAAAACTCTGTGGAATATGGCAGTTGAACATAATTGATGACAAATCATGTTATTAATAACTGAGTTTTTCACTAGTATTATTCTATCGGCGTTGGAATTTTCTGCCAATAAGATATGTAATTGCATTATCTATATGATGCATGCTGCGTGCTTCTGACTGAGTCACTGAGAGGATCAATTTGTTTAAGATGTTGCTACGATATCACTACTTTTATTAGAAGACCAGTGACTAATTGAAACTGCAAAATACATAAAAGTGTCATATCTGTCTGTTGGTTCAGCAGAAGGTAGGAGTTGGTGACTACCTGAACTTTGCTGCTTAGCTAGTAAAGCTATGTGTAGCATGGATTGACCCTCGTTATATAGCTGAGGGGGGATAGGGCTTAGCTGTTGTGCTGTTCCCGTCTTTAACCATTGGGATGCATGACTGGGTTGGGCTTAAGGCTTCACGTAGAGTTGAAGTTGCCCTTGAGCAAGCTCTTTGACATTTATTGACGCCCTCTTTAATTACTTGTGGATCTCAGGTTTTTTTTAGCTGGATTTCGTTATCAAGTTTTTTTATTTATTTTTTCTTTTGACAGCATTATCAAGTTTCTGAAAATACTTTCTTTGAAATAAAAAATTTATCCCATGTTTAGGATCCTGCTGCCTTCTTTTTGGCACCTCTTCTTCAGTAATTATTTCTATTCCTTGCTGTGTGAAAGTCGATTTTCTATCTTTTTTTCTTCCTGCTGCTATTTGTTCCTACTTTTATTTACCACCCCATTGACCAATTATTTTGGTATTATGGACTACCTGCTGGATAATTCTGAAAAATTGTTCTGTTATTTGCTATAACTTAAAAGTTCGTTTAAGAGTTATTTTACTTAATTCTTTAATGCTGCAGGCGAATGCAAGAACAGAAACAGCAAGGACGTTTTTGGCGACGATGAAATCAAATTTAATTTATGCTGCTACTTAAATAATTTGCAAGCATAACCATTTTCACCGAGATAGTTGAACACCTAGCTCAAGACAGTGAATTCGCAAACAGTTGATAATTTGGCACAGCTTCAGCATGAAACAAATTCGGCTCTCGATTGTTAACTAGTTATATTCAATTATATTTTTTCATCGCTGTACGTTCTGAGGAAAAACTGGAAATTTTTGTTTCATCCTGTTAGCTCCTTTACAGTTGAACAAGAGATGCTCAGATAGTGTTATAGCAATAAACTCCCTCGCTAGTGCACCCAAATATAGATTAAAATAATATGAATGGTCCTTAGTTTAAGAAAGTGCACCAAGTTATTCCTGGATGCTAGGCGAACCAAGGTGCAAAGTTAAACACCTTGGTCTTTTTGGCCACAGTACAGTCCATACGGCAAGCTGAGACGTGCTCCGCAGGTCACCATTTGCAAGGTGTTGTGCCTTAGCCTTTTGTTTGAGTTGATTTAAATTTTGATTTTTACCACCCAAAAAAACTCCGCAGGAGACTGAACTTTCAAATGTTGCAAAGAGGGGACTGAAACCCAAAAAAACTCCACATCGATGACGATGGCAAAGGTGGGCAAATATTTTGATCTTTGTCATCAAGAATGCTTCATATTGTGTAACTTTCGTTTTTTATCTTACCAAAATTGGTCTTTGATCTAAATCTATAATTCTTGAACACAGGTGATATTAAAAGAAGACGGGTGAACTAATTTTCCTGATCTTTGTATCATCCCCCATTAAACCATCCTTTTGATGCAAATTACCAAGAAAAACTATGAGCACAATTTAAATTAAGTCATTTTGAACTCAAATTGGAGTAAATTTTAGCAATTTTACTGATAGTTGGAAGATTTGAGAAATTGGTTTTCTAAGAATGTTAAATCAAGTCATAAACAAGGGACTTTGGATCAACATCTAATCTTTTAATTGGGGAGGTTGAGGAAATGATGAGAAAATGGTAATGGGTATCACTAAATTAAGATACTAGGGGAAAATTTGTTTAGAGTTGGCGATTGAAATGTTAGAAATTATTGAATTGCATGCATCATCCTTTTTTTTTTGTGATTTTTTTAAAATTAATAATTTTACTTTTTTAAAATTTTAAAAAAAATTGAATTAACCTGATACAACATTAAAAAGAGCCTCCAATAGTACTGTCAAAACGGTTTGACAGTTCGGTTTCAGTTCGGTTTGAAATCGGGTCGGTTTGAAATCGGTTCAAATGTCTTACGGGTCGGTTTCAGTTCGGTTTAAATAATTATCGGTTCGATTCGGTTTTGGTTTATTCTTGAACGGTTTAAATCCGATTCGGGTTGTAAACGGTTCGGGTAGTAAACGGTTCGGTGCAAACGGGTTGCGGTTTGTTAACGGTTCGGTGTAAACGGTTTTTATCCCGGTTTAAATTCGATTCGGGTTGTAAACGGTCCGGGTAGTAAACGGTTCGGTGCAGACGGGTTGCGGTTTGTTAATGGTTTTTATCCCGGTTAGAAACAGTTCGGTTTTTTTTGGTTCAGTTTTATTTTAGTTTAGTTTATAACTGGTTCGGTTTGTTAACGGGTTCGGTTCTTCTACGATTTAACATTATTTGGATCGGTTTTATTTTAGGTTTACTAAATTACGGTTCGGTTCTGTTTTTTATTTCAAAAAATCGGTTTTTTATCGAGTCGTTCAAAAAACCCCTAGTAGGAAGTGGTTTGTAAACGGTTCTAATTATAAGCGATTCGGTTCATAAACGGTTCGGTTTATAAGCGGTTCGATTTATAATCAGTTCGGTTTATAAACGGTTCGGTGCAAACGGGTTGCAATTTGTTAACGATTCGGTGTAAACGGCTTTTATGCCAGTTTAAACGGTTTCGGGTTAGAAACGGTTCGGTTCATTTTCGGTTCGGTTTCCTTTCAGTTCGGTTTAGATTTAGTCCCTCCTTTATGTTTTACTCTTCTTTTTACCACCAAAAAAAAAAAAGAGAGCCCCGAGATTGTTTTTACCATCCAAATTTCTAATATTTTATTTACCACGAAAAAAATCAAAAATTTGAATTTCGCCACCACTTAACGGATTTTATTCGAGATCCGTTAGTGGATCCTACCATCTCCACGTCTCACTAATCTATTGGTCCAAAAAAAGAAATATATAAAATAAGAAAAAAAAATTAAACCTAAACACCAAACCTAGTCAGCCCCACCATCGACACCCCCTGTCGGACTACATAAATGCCCCTATCTTCAGCCTACCACCGTAATTCGCCTCACCTTCATTTCCCCCACCACAAAATCGGTCCCCTCACTTTTCCTCTACCTCGAAATCCACCATATTTTTTATCCCCACTCCCAAAATGACCAAAAACCCGAAAACTCTAGCTCACACCCGCCCCAAATACTACCTGGTCGAAATTGGTTGATTTGAAGACACTATTCATTTGAAGTTGGCATATTCATTTGCAGAGCCTCCTTTGCACAGTTAAGTACTTCGAAATGAGTTTTATGCCCTCGTGCCATAGAAAGAGCAAAACTTTTGCAAATTGTTACCTACACCCTAGGTAGCGTTGCTTGTAACCCTTCTACGGTTCTACCACATAATGACATCGTTTGTTTGGTTTTTATTTCCCTTCCCTTCACTTTAACATTTTGTTTCTTATATCTGATTTGTAAATGTTCAATATTGTTTCTTAATTTATGTTAATGTGAAGTGCAATATCCAAACTTGTTTATTTGATTGAATCACATGGAGGAGTATTAACACTAATGATTTGTCCCTCAAAAGAAATAATAAGTCTTCTAATCAAAATTTACTTTTGTGTACTTTCTAACTAAGTTACACTTTTGAAATTCAAAGCTTTGGATGGAAAAGGAAAGTGACCCATTTGCTTCTTCTTAGCCACCCCCACACCCCTCCACACTAAATGACTTCTCTCTCCCTCTTTGTACTTATTTCCATTTCATTTCATTTCATTTGATATTAGAGAAAGCCCAAAATTCTAAATAGAAGATTCCTTTAGTTTTCAGCGCAATTCTTCATTTCAACGCACATTTAAGGTAACCACTTAAAGCTTTTTCTTTGCTTTTTATGCTTGGAATAATGAGGTCCTCAAAAATTTTTAATCCAGACCAAATGTTATAGCTTGGCCACTTCACTCATTGAGGTTGACCCTGGAGCCCAAGAGTTTAGAGCACCTAATATGGTCAAACTAATTAAGCAAATGTACTATTCAATCATTAGACATATAAATGGGAGGGGAGGGGAGGGGGGGGGGGACATAGTTCATGTGTCTACACTCAATCACCATGTAACGTCACGTTGCAAGCTCTGATTACTTTTTAAGATTAAGTAGGCTATCACATGTCACCCTTTAATTATTGGTCCTCTCGGAGGAGTGCTTTTATTCTAATTGTAACGTATTAAAATTTAATTGAATGTCTTTCAAAATGACAATGGACATATGTTAAAATCCCAATAAACAATTATCAAATTTTTAATGGTCATCTATTAAATATGGGAATGAAAACAAATTAAGATTGTAATGAATCATTATTCGTAATGAGAATGAAAAGTTATCAAAAAAAGGATCTACATAATCATCTAAGTTAATTTCTCAAAAATAACATCTCAATTAATACTGAAAACTAGAACAATTGTTCATAATTTTATCAAATTTTTGACATAAGGACATAAAATTATTGATTACATTTGTTCCATAAACGGAACGACCCCAACATTACCGGATTCGATTTTGACTAGACCCAAATATGACCCAAACTTACTCGACCCCAAAATGGTCTAACCCGAAATTAAGGCAACCCCAAACTCGACCCGATACCCGACCCTAAACATACTCTAGCCCGAATTGACCCGACCCGAAACATACCTGATTCCTGAATGTTAGCTGATCCAAAATGACCTGACCCAAATAAATGATTCGTTTCTCAGGTCTATTATGGAGTAATACAAACTTTGATGTTTATTTTCCTCTAGCAGGCCCAACCGGTAAACAAACTGTTATAACATGTCTGGTTATCATGACACGTGCCAACACGTGATTGGTCCAAAATTAAAAAAAACTCTAACACTACCAACCACTCCCTCCCCTTCCCCCACCTTTAAACCCTAGCCTTAACCCCCAACCCCAACTGATTTCGGCCGACCGCCTCCCTTAACAACCGAAAATGGCAAGCCGACCTTTCTAAACCCCTAAAACCACATGATCGACCCACCCCCAACCTTGAAACCACCCTCTTCCCCCACCACCGAAACCACCCTTCCTCCCTTCCCCAACCCCCTGAAATCGACCGTTTCAGTTTGAGGGTAATCTTGGGTTTGAGGGTAACCCCTATCTTTCATGCCTTGACTCGCCCGATTGGGGATACTGCTGCCAGTGCAACACTGGGTTTGAAGGTGTTAGCATACAATTATGTAAATAATTTTATGTATAATATAAGCCTTAATTTATGCCTAGAAATCAGTGTAATTGATAGTGATTGATTTTGTAATTAAGTGTAATCTTGTATTCCATATATAGTGGATACTATAGGTTGTAAGGCACGGTTATATAAAAGGAATGAAGGATGAAAATCTCCTCAAGGGAGAATTTCACCTATTCTTACATTCTTACATGGTATCAGGCTAAACGATCCTCTTTTCTTCTAAATCTTATTTTCCTCTTTGCTTAATTATTTCACATGGCAGGAGATTCCTCAAACCACTAACTAAAATAGATAGGGAAGTAGGGTCGAATCCATAGAAAAACAAGTCTTTCTATTTCTAAATAATTAAAACAATCTAAACTCTCAAGTAACCAATTTGTTTTTTTATGAGAATTAAACTAAGGAAAGTAAATAAACTAAAGCAAATTAAACTAGGGAGAAATCAATAAATCAAGGTCTAGGGTATAGGTTCACCAATAAATAATATTCCAGGGTAAAACGCAACAATCAATTATTAATGCATCAATTAATCAGATCAAAAAGGGCTTTCGCTACGTATTACAATCATATAATTAATCTACCTGTATTAAATCTCATCTCTCGAATCTTGACTTAACCATTTATAAATTAACTTGCCTATTGAAACTAAGCCTAAACATCCATTATCATCTCTTGAATCTCGAATCAATATTGCATAACTCATACAATTAAACCTGGCCAAATCTAATTGCATAGCATTAAATCAAACAATAGGAAATCAATCAAGCATTGACAATCAACAATAATAAATTACCCCTTCATATTATTTCTGAATCCCCACAACCCCAGAAATAAAACTACTCACACATATTTATATTT